GCTGACCCCTCTGGGGGTCCTGTCCTGTCTCACTTCTCCACTGTCCTCCCATGTCCGGCTGCCCCTTCGGGCACCCTGTCGGGTCTGTACCTTCCCTCGTTCTCTACGAACTTGGTGAGTGGAGCGGACCTGCAGGATGTGGGTGTTCACCAGTTCACTCCTGCGAGTCAGCGGGTGACCCACTGCACGGAGGCACGCACAGGCCGACACCTGGCCACGTTCTCGCGTCGGCCGGGGTCGAGTCTCTACACCCTGACCGTTGAGTCTCCTCCTGTCCCTGCGTCTGGTCAGGTGGCTGCGTCGGGTCAGGTACTTGCTGCTGCGTCCCGGTCAGGTCCTGAGTCTGCCCCCTGTTCTTGTCGCCTCCTGTCTCACAAGACTCTCCTGTGGCACCACCGTCTTGGCCACCCCTCCTTGCCCCGTCTTCGGAGCATGGCTTCCCGTGTCCTTGTCTCTGGTCTTCCCCAGTCTCTCCCTCCTCTCCCCTCCGGGCCAGGACCTTCCTGTGTCCCCTGTGTCGAGGGTCGCCTCCGGGCTACTCCTCACTCCTCCCACTTCCCCCCGACAGAGGCTCCCCTGCAGACGCTTCACATGGATGTGTGGGGCCCAGCCCCCGTCCGTGGGCAGGGTTACGAGCGCTACTTCCTGTTGGTGGTTGACGACTACTCGCGTTACACCACAGTCCTCCCCTTGCGCAGCAAGGGTGCGGTCACTGAGGTGCTGATCGACTGGATCCGCGAGGCTCGTCTCCAGCTCAGGAAGAGCTTCGGCTCGGACTTTCGTGTTCTACGTCTGCACTCTGACAGAGGCGGAGAGTTCTCTTCTCGCCTTCTGCGAGACTACTGTCGTGCACGGGGGATCCGCCAGACCTTCACGCTTCCGGACTCACCACAGCAAAATGGGATTGCTGAGCGCCGCATTGGCATGGTCATGGATGTCGCTCGTACGTCCATGATGCATGCGGCTGCCCCCCATTTTCTGTGGCCGTTTGCGGTGAGGTACGCGGCGCATCAGCTCAACCTTCACCCCCGGGTCTCTCGGCCTGCGATGTCCCCAGTCTTGCTGTGGACGGGGAAGGTTGGCGATGCGTCTGTGTTCCGTGTCTGGGGATCTCGGGCGTTTGTCCGCGACTTGTCTGCGGACAAGCTGTCCCCTCGTGCTGCTCCCTGTGTTTTCCTTGGCTTCCCCACTGACGCCCCAGGGTGGCAGTTTTACCACCCCTCCTCTCGTCGTGTTCTGTCCTCCCAGGACGTCACGTTCGACGAGTCAGTCCCCTTCTACCGTCTCTTCCCCTACCGCACTCCTTCCCTCCCCCCTCCCCCGGACTTCCTTGTGCCGGTTCCCCCCCCGGTAGACCCCCTCCCCCCTCAGGTTCCTGCCCCCTCAGGTGTGTCCCAGGTAGACGCCGTTGACCCGGTCGAGGTTACTGGTAACTCTGGTGCTGCTGCGGGTGCTGAGCCTGGGGGTGCTGACTCTGGGGGTGCTGTGCGCGGGGGTGCTGAGCCTGGGGGTGCTACTGCTGGGGGTGCTGGGCCTGAGGGTGCTACTGCGGAGGGTGCGGAGCCTGGGGGTGCTGAGCCGGGGGGTGCTGTGCCTGGAGGTGCTGGGTCTGGGGGTGCTGGGTCGGGAGCTGCTGAGCCTGGGGGTGCTGAGCTGGGAGCTGCTGAGCCTGGGGGTGCTGCGTCTGGAGCTGCTGAGCCTGGGGTTTCTCCTGCTGCTGCGTCTCGCCGGGTGCTGGTGCTGTCCCTGCTGAGTCTGGAGCTGCCGCGCGGCCTCGGCCGTACTTCGTTCCGCTCCTGCAGCAGGTTCTTGGTCTTTCTCCTCCAGTAGAGGGTCCACCACCTGTCCAGTCGCAGTCCCTACTGGAGCCTTCCTCTCCACTGCCTGCTCCCTCTCCTTACACTGGTCCTACTGGAGGTCTTGCTGAGCGTCGTGAGCCTGCGTCTCGTCCCGCGTCGCCTGTTCGTGCTGCTCGCGCTAGTGGTCGCAGTTCGCGTCAGCGTCCTCCTCCTGTCCCTGGCACGCACCGGATGTCTCTGCGTCCGTCCACTGCTCCTCTGCGTGCCCCTTTGCCTTCTCCTCCTGAGTCCTCTCTTCCTGCGCTTGCCGACCCTGAGTCGGACTCTCTTCGCGCTGCGAGTCCTACTGTCACGCGTCTGCTTGCTACTGTCGTCACTGACCCCTCTTTTGAGTCCACTGCTGCGTCTGCTCTAGTCGCTGAGCTCGTTGACTTTGCTGCTTGCTGTCGTCTCGACTACGCTGCTAGTCTTGTTGCTGAGTCTGCGTCTGTCTGTCCTCCGTCCGTCGGGGGTGAGTGTGCTCTTGGCACGGACGTCCTAGAGGACAGGCAGGAGGAGTTACAGTGTCTAGCGGCTGCTTCACCTCATCTCGCGTCTGTACTGCTTGCCCCTGAGGGAGACCCGGATGCACTAGACATCCCGACTCCGCGTTCTTACGCGGAGGCCGTAGAGGGTCCCTACTCCTCTCAGTGGCAGGCAGCTATGGATGCAGAGATGGCTTCCTGGAAGTCCACAGGCACCTACGTTGACGCGGTTCCCCCTCCTGGGGCGAACATCGTCAGTGGCATGTGGATCTTCAGGGTGAAGCGGCCGCCGGGCTCTCCACCTGTCTTCAAGGCACGGTACGTTGCTCGTGGCTTCAGTCAGCGGCAGGGAGTTGACTACTTTCAGACCTTCTCTCCCACCCCGAAGATGACTACTCTTCGGGTGCTGCTGCACATAGCCGCTCAGCGCGACTACGAGCTTCACTCTCTCGACTTCAGCACTGCGTTCTTGCAGGGTAGCCTGCACGAGGAGATCTGGCTTCGCCGTCCACCTGGCTTCACTGGGACTTTCCCTCCTGGCACCCAGTGGAGCCTCCGACGGCCAGTCTACGGTCTCCGCCAGGCACCGCGTGAGTGGCACGACACACTGAGGACTACGCTTGCGGCTCTTGGGTTTGCTCCTTCTACTGCTGACCCGTCGCTGTTTCTTCGCACCGACACTTCCCTGCCGCCGTTCTACATCCTCGTGTACGTCGACGACTTGGTCTTTGCCACAGCGGACACTGCTGGACTCGCCTACGTGAAGTCCGAGCTGCTGAAGAGACACACGTGCACAGACCTGGGTGAACTGCGCAGCTACCTTGGCTTGCAGATCACTCGGGACAGAGCACGCCGCACCATTACCTTGACTCAGTCACACATGGTGCAGCAGGTCCTTCAGCGCTTCGGCTTCACGTACTCCTCGCCTCAGGCCACTCCTCTGCCTACTCGCCACTCACTCTCAGCTCTGCCTTCGGATGAGTCCGTAGAGTCGAGTGGTCCGTATGCAGAGCTTGTTGGCTGCCTCATGTACCTGATGACCTGCACACGACCTGACCTTGCATACCCTCTGAGCATTCTTGCACGCTATGTTGCTCCTGGGAGACACAGACCGGAGCACATGGCTGCAGCGAAGAGGGTATTGCGCTACCTGTGCAGTACGTCGGGCATGGGGCTAGTGCTTGGAGGGCGGAGTCCAGTGGTCCTTACCGGCCACGCGGACGCTTCTTGGGCTGACGACCAGGCTACGCAGCGGTCGTCACAGGGTTACACCTTCAGCCTTGGTTCCGGCTCTGTCTCGTGGCGGTCTACTCGCTCGTCTTCGGTTCTCGGCTCCAGTTGTGAGGCTGAGATCTACGCCGGGGCCATGGCTGCACAGGAGCTTCGCTGGCTCACCTACCTGCTGACTGACCTTGGAGAGCCGCCTCGTTCTCCTCCAGTGCTGTACGTAGACAACAAGGCTATGCTGGCCTTGTGTCGAGAGCAGCGCTTGGAGCACAGAACGAAGCACATTGCTCTTCGCTACTTCCTTGCTCGTGAGCTGCAGCAGCGTGGTCAGTTGCGACTTGCGTACGTGGCCTCTGAGGCCAACACTGCTGATGTGTTCACCAAGGCACTCGCGCCTTGTGACCATCAGCGCTTTTGCACCCAGCTGGGTCTTGTGCCTGTCTTGCCTCACTTGCTCTCCTCTTGACTTCACTTGTACTGTGACATATATTTATGCCTGCTCTTGTTTGTCTAGTTTTATATATATGTCTGTACTCCTGCATGTGAACTAGCCTCTGGCCCTACTCTTGTGCTCGGACTGTGTGGTGACTTTGTGATCCACCCTGAGCTTGCTTTGCTTCGCTTGACTGGTCTTGTGACCCCTTGTTCTCCCCCACTTTGCCTATGGGGGTGTGTCAGATTTATATGACATAGTTGCTGTAGGCTATAGTGGGGTAGCACATATGGGGTACAGGGTTTCTAGGGTTGTATTTGTACCCAATCTTTCCTTAGTCATTTCATTCCTGTTTTCTTTACTTCACAAAACGTGGATGCTTAGAATGTTACTGTTCACTGCGGGTTTGGCATGTTGCGACTTGGACACCCACATGTAGGCTTATGGGTACATGTTAAGGGTTTGTTGTGCCCGAATTGTGATGTCAGGTATCTCAAAGAGGCTCATCCATGGGTTGATGGTGGGTCCTGCTCTGGAACTTCTGTCAAATCAACTTAAAAAACATATACATAAAATTATTGAGATCAAAAAAACATTTAGATCAATAAATCAGATCAGAGTGGCGCAGCGGAAGCGTGGTGGGCCCATAACCCACAGGTCCTAGGATCGTAACCTCGCTCTGACAATATTTTGTTGCCGCTAACAGGGAAAATGGGTTCAGTGTAGAGTTCATTGGTCTTGCTGGCCTCCATATATTGTAGGGTAACTCGATCTCTACTTCTCGCAATTTCCCCATTTTGACGATGCCATACACCCACCTTAAATGCTGTTGCCCAACTAGATCCACTCCACCACCAACACGCCTCCTAGGTTTTGCATCCCTTCCTAGCATGCGTTATTGCGAATCGCTTACTTGATTCAACTTCTAAGAGTTCTAGTCGCTTACGGGCTGTGGGTTTGAGGTCCGCTGAGAACGTTTTTTCTGTGATCCGGGACCGAAAAAGGTAAGTCGCAGCAATGCGCGATAGGAGCGATAGCGATTCCGAGAGGGACGAAGATTTCAGGAGGAGGCGCGGCCGTAAAGAGCGGAACGACAGCCCCGCTTCTATCGATGGTGACTCTAGCGGGAGTGACGAGGACGCGCGGGATGTAGGCCGCGGAAAGGGGAAAGCGCGGAACGCGCGGGGCGCTGGGGGAGATGGGCGGGCGGATGAGCGGAAGGGCCGCGGAGGTCCCAAGAGTCCGCCAGAGGACGACGGTGTGGGGAAGCAGGGAAGGGGAGGCGGAGATTGGGGGCCGGGAGCTGCGCGCCGCAGGGGGAGGCATGATTCGGACTATGAGAGCGACGAGGAGAGGGGCGGTAGCGATGGCGCAAGAGGGGGCGGAAGGGGCAGCGGAAGGGGCGGAAAGTTGAAGACTCGGGAGGATTTTGAGGGGGAAGAGGAGGAGCGTGCGGAAGCGAAGAAGAGTGAAGGGGCACGTAGGGGCGAGAGGGAGCGTGAGGTGGACGAGGAGGAGGAGGGGGGTGAGCGGTGGGAGATGGGCGGGGGTAGGGAGGGGGCGCGGGTTGGGCGGAAGGAGGAGCGCTGGGGGGAGGGGAGGCACGGGGGTCGCGCGGCAAGTGGGGAGCGGGAGGAGCGCGATATGGGCGAGGGGAGACTGGGGAGAGGTAAGATGAGGGCGAGGGATGGCCTTGGGGAAGAAATGCGAGATCGCGATGGAGAGAGGGGCAGGGAGAGCCACAGGGGAAGGGAGGGCGAGAGGGGACGAGACGTGGATGGGAGGCGACGGGAGAGGGAGGGGGATGGCGGCAGGGATGGGCGAAGGGATGGCGAGAGGGAGAGGGAGAGGGATAGAGAGCGAGACGGCAGGAGGGAGAGAGGCAGGTCAGGGCGGCACAGGCGGGGAGGGTCTGATTCGGATGGGAGTGAGAGCAGCGGCGAGTGGGAGAGGGAGCGAGAGAGGGAGAGGGGGAGGGGAGGGAGGATAGGCACAGGAGGCATGAGGAAGGGAGGCGAGAGGAGGGGCGGCGAGAGAGGGGGAGGGGCGAGTGGGAGGGGGAGGAGAGGCGAAGCGAAGGCAGGGAGGGCCGGGGGGCTCTCGTGCGCGCACCCAATGCTGATGCTGCCGCCACTCCTGCCCCCGCCGCTGCTGCCGCTGCTGGCGGAGCAGCAGGCCCAGGCGCAGGTCCGGCTGCAGGCAAGGCAGCAGCAGCGCGGGACACAGGGCGCACGGGAGGCGCGTACATCCCGCCGTTCAAGCTGGCGCGCATGCTGCAGGAGGTGAACGACCGCAGCAGCGCGGAGTACCAGCGCCTCACGTGGGACGCGCTACGCAAGTCCATCAACGGGCTGGTCAACAAAGTCAACGCCAGCAATATCAAGAACATCATCCCCGAGCTCTTTGGGGAGAACCTAGTGCGCAGCATGGGGCTGCTGTGCCGCGCGTGCATCAAGTCGCAGATGGCCAGCCCCACGTTCACGCACGTGTTTGCGGCGCTGGTTGCGGTGGTGAACACAAAGTTTCCCGAGCTGGGGGAGCTGCTGCTGAAGAGGATCATTCTGCAGTTTCGAAGGGCGTTTCGGCGCAACGATAAGGTGAGAGTTGATGGCAAAACATGTCAGCTCTTTGGGAGGTGCCTGGAGGCTAGAGCGCGTGCATCAAGTCGCAGATGGCCAGTCTGATTTTCACGCACGTGTTTGCGGCGCTAGTGGTGGCGGTGGTGAATACCAAGTTTCCCGAGTTAGGGGAGCTGCTGCTGAAGAGGATCATTCTGCAGTTTCGCAGGGCGTTCAGACGCAACGACCAGGTGAGAGGGGAAGGAACAAACTGGTCTCGGTTTTCTGTTGACCGGATTTCTGTTGGTCGGGACTTTGTTGGCTGGGAACCTGTTGTTTGCGGCGCTGGTGGCGGTGGTGAATACCAATTTCGCGGAGCTGGGAGAGCTGCTGCTGAAGAGGATCATCAGGCGGGCGTTCCGGCGCAACGACAAGGTGAGAGGTGAAGGGAGAGGTGGTCCCTTCCCAAACTGGGGGAGTCTGTTGCTCAGGCGCTCGTGGCGCTCGTGGCGCTCGTGGCACTCGTGGCGCTGGTGGCACTCGTGACGCTGGTGGCACTCGTGGCGCTGGTGGCACTCGTGGCGCTGGTGGCACTCGTGGCGCTTACTTTGCAAATGAGGAGATTCTCCTCATTTGCCTTACTTTCTTTTCAATTTTCTCCACATTTTGATAATTATTTTCTTCTCTCCCCTCTTCCTTCTTTCCCTCTCCTTCATTCCTTGCTTATTTGTTTTTCAGATTTCCTTCTGACTTCCAGATGTGTACATCTGCCAAGATTACTTGTGAAGTGCATAGTAGTGGTAATCTGTAGGATTGTTTTGTATTGATGTTTGCATGTTTTGTTGTTTTTATAGGTTTTGCATTTAGTTTTTTTCTGTTTGTGTGAATGTGTGTGATCTTGTGTATGTGTTTGTATATGTGTGTGTGTGTGCCTTCGTGCGTGTGAACTGTGGTTGTGTGCATTCATCCGTATTCATTGCAATAACAATGCACGTCTGTGATCTTTAAAAAGAAATTTCAAATCTATCATTTCACAAAAGGTTCATTGGCGCACTCAGTGACTCGTGTGCGACCACTTCAAACAGGATTTGATAGAGATGAGTTTTTTTTTTAGACTTCACAGATTGTGTTGTTTCATGTGGTAGTTGATGATTCAAAAGCTAAGCTATTGACTTCCCCCCAATGCTAGGCAGGGGATGGCGGTAGCTTAGTTTTTAGGTTGTTAACTGTCACCCATTTTATCATGTTCATGATTCATTCATGACATATCACATGCATTATATAGCACTATTTCATGCATTATGCATTATATATCATCTTTTATGCATTATGCATGCATTTTTTATCATTACACATCATCATCCAACAGTAAAACATAAAATGCAAACAGCAGAGCAAAGTTGCACTAAACAACTGCAGAAAAAATCATATGGTTTAATGCATTGTGAACAGTATCTTATCCATAACTGCTCAACATGCATACAGTAAGGGTGTGAAAGAAAGAACGAGAATGGATGAACTATGAGTGAAGTGAGTACAAATATGAAACCCTAATTGGGTTGTACCCCCTATGGGATACCCCACTATAGCCTACAGAAATGAGTAAGCTATAATGTTCTGACACACCCCCATAGGCAAAGTGGGGGAGAACAAGGGGTCACAAGACCAGTCAAGCAAAGCAAAGCAAAGCTCAGGGTGGATCACAAAGTCACCACACATTCCGAGCACAATTTCAAGGGCCACAAGACCAGTTCACATGCAAGATCATATATAAAGATATACAAGAGTCAAGCAAGCAAGAGCAAGAGTATATAAAGTGAAGGTACAAGCAAAGTCAAGAAGTGAGCAAGTGAGGCAAGACAGGCACAAGACCCAACTGCGTGCAACAACGCTGATGATCACAAGGCGCAAGTGCCTTGGTGAAGACATCAGCAGTGTTGGCCTCAGAGGCCACGTACGCAAGTCGCAACTGTCCACGCTGCTGTAGCTCACGAGCAAGAAAGTAGCGGAGAGCAATGTGCTTTGTCCTGTGCTCCAGTCGCTGCTCTCGACACAAGGCCAGCATGGCCTTGTTGTCTACGTACAGGACTGGAGGAGAACGAGGCGGCTCTCCAAGGTCGGTCAGCAAGTAGGTGAGCCAGCGTAACTCCTGTGCAGCCATAGCCCCGGCGTAGATCTCAGCCTCACAACTGGAGCCGAGAACAGAAGACGAGCGGGTAGCCCGCCAAGAAACAGAGCCGGAACCAAGGCTGAAGGTGTAACCCTGTGACGACCGCTGCTTAGCCTGGTCGTCAGCCCAAGAAGCGTCTGCGTGCCCAGTGAGGACCACTGGACTGCGCCCTCCAAGCACTAGCCCCATGCCCGACGTACTGCACAAGTAGCGCAACACCCTCTTCGCTGCAGCCATATGCTCTGGTCGGTGTCTCCCAGGAGCAACATAGCGTGCGAGAATGCTAAGAGGGTATGCAAGGTCATGTCGTGTGCAGGTCATCAGGTACATGAGGCAGCCAACAAGCTCTGCATACGGGCCACTCGACTCTACGGACTCATCCGAAGGCAGAGCTGAGAGCGAGTGGCGAGTAGGCAGAGGAGTGGCCTGAGGCGAGGAGTACGTGAAGCCGAAGCGCTGAAGGACCTGCTGCACCATGTGTGACTGAGTCAGGGTAATGGTGCGGCGTGCTCTGTCCCGGGTGATCTGCAAGCCAAGGTAGCTTCGCAGTTCACCCAGGTCAGTGCACGTGTGTCTCTTCTGCAGCTCGGACTTCACGTAGGCGAGTCCAGCAGTGTCAGCTGTGGCAAAGACCAAGTCGTCGACGTACACGAGGATGTAGAACGGCGGCAGAGAGGTGTCGGTGCGCAGAAACAGTGACGGGTCGGCAGTAGAAGGAGCAAACCCAAGTGCCGCCAGCGTAGTCCTCAGTGTGTCGTGCCACTCACGTGGCGCCTGGCGGAGACCGTAGACTGGACGCCGGAGACTCCACTGGGTACCAGGAGGGAAAGACCCAGTGAAGCCAGGTGGGCGACGCAGCCAAATCTCCTCGTGCAGGCTGCCCTGCAAGAAAGCAGTGCTGAAGTCGAGAGAGTGCAGCTCGTAGTCACGGTGAGCAGCAACGTGCAGCAGTACCCGAAGAGTGGTCATCTTCGGGGTGGGGGAGAAGGTCTAAAAGTAGTCAACCCCCTGCCGCTGACTGAAGCCACGAGCCACGTAACGCGCCTTGAAGACAGGCGGAGAACCCGGCGGCCGCTTCACCCTGAAAATCCACATGCCACTGACGATGTTCGCCCCAGGAGGGGGAACAGCGTCAACGTAGGTGCCTGTGGACTTCCAGGAAGCCATCTCTGCATCCATAGCTGCCTGCCACTTAGAGGAGTAGGGACCCTCTATCGCCTCCGCGTAAGAGCGCGGAGTCGGGATGTCAAGTGCATCCGGGTCTCCCTCAGGGGCTAGCAGTACAGACGCGAGATGAGGTGAAGCGGCGGCCAGACACTGGAACTCCTCCTGCCTGTCCTCAAGGACGTCCGTGCCAAGGGCACACTCACCCCCGACGGACGGAGGACAGGCAGACTCAGACTCAGCGACAAGACTAGCAGCGTAGTCTAGACGACAGCGCGCAGCGAAGTCGACGAGCTCAGTGACAAGGGCAGACGCAGCAAAAGACTCGAAGGAAGGGTCAGTGACAGCAGTAGCAAGGAGACGCGTGACTGTAGGACTGGCAGCACGAAGAGAGTCCGACTCCGGGTCGGCAAGAGCAGGAAGTAGGAGGAGAAGGCAAAGGGGCACGCAGAGGAGCAGTGGACGGACGCAGAGACATCCAGTGCGTGCCAGGGACAGGAGGAGGACGCTGACGCGAACCGCGACCACTAGTGCGCGCAGTACGAACAGGCGACGCAGGACGAGACGCAGGCTCACGACGCTCAGTAAGACCTCCAGTCGGACCAGCGTAGGGAGAAGGAGCAGGCAAAGGGGAGGCACGCTGTAGCTGTGACTGTGACGAGACAGGCTGTGGACCCTCTAAGGGAGGAGGAGGAGGACCAGGAGAAGGTGTAAGACCAAGAACCTGCTGCAGGAGCGGAACGAAGTACGGTCGGGGCCGCGCGGCGACGCCAGAAACAGCAGGGACAGCACCAGTACCCCCAGCAGGAGTACCCGCTCCAGCAGCACCTCCAGCAGCACCTCCAGTAGCTCCAGAACCTCCAGCAGCACCACCAGGAGCACTGCCAGTCGGACCGCCAGCGGCAGTCTCAGCGCCAACACCCTCAGCAGCACCAGCTCCAGGAGAACCCTCAGACCCAGCAGCTCGAGGACCCACAGCACGAGCACCTCCGGGACGCTCGGTAGCAGCACCCTCTGCAGCCGAAGAACCTCCAGCACCAGTAGCACGCCTCCAGCGCCGGGCAAACCACTCACGCAGCTCCTGTGGGGAGAGGGGCTCTCGGCGAGACGGAGCACCTCCAGGCGGAGCACCCCCAGTCTCAGCACCCCCAGGCTTAGCACCCCCAGGCCCAGCACCCCCAGGCTCAGCACCCCCAGACTCAGCACCCCCAGGCTCAGCACCCCCAGGCTCAGCACCCCCAGGCTCAGCACCTCCAGACTCCGCACCCCCAGGCTCAGCACCCCCAGGCGTAGCACCTCCAGTCCCAGCACCCCCAGGCTCAGCACCCGCAGCAGCACCAGAGTCACCAGTGACCTCGACAGGCTCGATCGCGTCTACCTGGGACACACCTGAAGGGGCAGGACCCTGAGGGGGGAGGGGGTCTACCGGGGGGGGACCTGGTACCAAGAAGAGCGGGGGCGGGGGGAGGGACGGAGTGCGGTAGGGGAAGAGGCGGTAGTAGGGTACCGACTCGTCGAACGTGTCGTCCTGAGAGGACAGAACACGTCGAGAGGTGGGGTGGTAGAACTGCCACCCAGGGGCGTCGGGGGGGAACCCCAGGAAGACGCAGGGAGCAGCGCGAGGGGACAGCTTGTCCGCAGACAAGTCGCGGACAAACGCCCGAGATCCCCAGACCCGGAACGCCGACGCATCGCCAACCTTCCCCGTCCACAGCAGGGCTGGGGAGGTCTCCGGCCTGGAGACTCTGGGGTGGAGGTTGATCTGATGCGCCGCGTACCTGACCGCAAACGGCCACAGAAAATGGGGGGCAGCCGCATGCATCATAGACGTACGAGCGACGTCCATGACCATGCCAATGCGGCGCTCTGCAATCCCATTTTGCTGCGGGGAGTCCGGAAGCGTGAAGGTATGGCGGATGCCTCGCGCACGACAGTAGGCACGCAGAAGGCCAGAGGAGAACTCTCCGCCTCTGTCAGAGTGCAGACGCAACACAGGAAAGTCCGAGCCAAAGCTGTGCCTGAGCTGGAGACGAGCTGCGCGGATCCAGTCGATCAGCACCGCAGTGACATCACCCTTGCTGCGCAAGGGGAAGACTGTGGTGTAACGCGAGT